TTTCTTGTTATATCTCCCACCGGGTCCCCGTCGGACACTTGGACCCAGTACTAGAACCTTCCTTCATCGATGAGGAGCGCGTCGTGCGCGCGCGCCAGCCGGACGAGGGCCTCGCGCCGCCGCAGCGGCAGCGTCTTGCCGGAGGGGTTGGCGCACGTGGGCACGAGGTAGATGACGTGTCTGTAGAGTTTGCGGTGCGCGCCCTTCTTCAGGTCCTCGGGCTGGATGGGGGCGTGTTAGAAGCTCCGTGGCGGCTGACTGACCACAAAGAAGAGGGGGATGAGGCGTGGCTGACCTTGGCGCCTCGGCCGTCGCGCTCCCAGGCTTCGTCGAGCTCCTGGAGCTTCTGCGCCAGCACCTCGACATTGGCGCCGTCGTCGTCCTCGGGTACCGCCCTCAGACGGCCGCCGAAGCCTGCGTCTTCGAAGATGGGACAGGCGAGGAAGTAGCAGGGCGCCACCATCCAGATGGCCCTCGTGAAGCCGGGGTCCGTGAAGCTGGCGAGCATGTTGGCGAGGCTCTGGCTGGCGCCGCCGGTGATGCAGATGCCGTCGGCTTCGGGCGCTGCGCCGTAGAACCGGGCCAGCCACGCGGCGAGATGCTCGCGGAGCGGCTGGAAGCCGGGGTCGGGCGCGTACTGGAGGCCGGGGACGGAGATGGTCGGGTCGGAGAGGGCCCGGGCTGCTGCTGCTGTGAGCGCGGCTGCCGGCAAGAGGGACGGCGAGGGCCAGCCCCGGAGCAGGTTGATCAGATGCGGGGTTCGGGTGACCATGATGGGCGCCGTTTGAGACGTGGACCGCCCAGGTTTGGGTTGCGGGGTTGTGAGGGCCTTGGTTGGGAGTCGGACGAGTGGTCTGATAGAGCGAGATGGCAGGCACTTGCTCATACCTCTCTTTCAAGGAATCACTTCGAGCCAGTTGCGTCCACGGTTATGGGATTTGTTTGCTTGTTTGCTTGTGGCAAGGTAGCTGAGGTTCGGGCTCTACGCCGGGCCGGACGAAGGTTGCGGGGGTTCGTGTCGAATTGCGGAGGAGACCCACACCGTTAGTGATACTATTTGTGGAGAAAAAGGTATTAATTGACTAGATCCGATGAAAACTAATGTTGAGCATTCTGATTGGAATCAGTCCTTACATAGTCGGTGGTGGGAAGGAAATCCTGCGACTGGGAAGACTTCGTGTTGGAACCCCCCGCTCTTGGATGACGGCGGAGAGAGACATGACCAAGGGGGATCTGCACGATGGCGTGCTTGTACTGGCAAGATGATGGGAAACATGATCTAGCACATGATGCCCGCTGTTCACACCTTGGATTCGATCTTCCAAGCCTAAACAGTATTGCAAACATCAACAAACTTTAGAATGGCGAGTGCATATGATCGGGAGCAGTTAGCTGTTCTTCGATCATGTTGATTTCCCTCATCACTTCCGTCAGGCGCCGCCGAGTCTTGAGATTCTGGCAGCTCTTCACACGCATGGTATTTCGAGGCTTCCATACAAAAACCTTCCTCAACATTACAATCCCAGTCATAGAATCAGCCCATACTCGCAGGCCCTTATCCAAAAGTTTTGTTGAACAAGCGTGGCCGAGGAGGATTTTATACGGAAATCGCCATTTTGTGTAATCATGTTCTTCAAGCGAGGGGTTCGCCGCTGCCACCGTTGCAGCGCGGACTCGTTGAAGGACTGAAGGATTTCCCTAGGGCGGTTTCCTGGGGTAATGAGATCTTTCATGGATAATCTCTAGAAATATGCCCTAATCATTGCGCAAGGGGGCACACTGCCAACAGCATCACTTTCCCGGATGCAACGGAAATACTGATCATGGGGACGATAGGAACCTCAGTGGTAGAATGGAGACACTGAGGGTGTGTGAGACTGAGGAAGACAGTCTGCGACGAAGTAGGTCTCTTTGAAATCAAATCGTGATCGCGTGACCACCACGATGGGCCGTATCGCCATCGCCAACAGGGCGGCCGATGTGAGGAAGACTCTCGAAGACTCTCGCAAGAAAAGGGGTGCGATCTGCGTTGGTGTGAAGTTACAGTGGGCGCTTCAGTTCATCAGCGGACCACCCTACAGCTGCGCCAACCCCTATACCATCACGGCTGTGTTCTGACTGATCAGGACATTGTCGGCACAGCGTCCTCTAACATCAGAACTTATGCACCTACCTTGCCCAGAACGACCAACAATTCAATCCTGGGGTTCATCTAGTACCAGAAACCAGTGCTCTCTCATGCGCTGCATATGACTACTTGGCTATCACGTCATGCCCTTTCGTGGCGCGCGACAACCCGAAGGGTTTGCTCTTTGAGCCCTTGCATTTCATCGCGGCTAGGATCCAGCTGCCTCCAGTCACATTCCTCGACCAAGTCAGCATCACCCGTTGAGTACGGATACGTCCAAGGAGTAGAGCATCTCAGCGACTACCGGCCGGGCGGCTATCATCCAATCTACATCAATGATCGACTTGACAAACGATATCGAATCGTTCACAAGCTCGGCCACGGCACCTTCTCCACTGCCTGGCTTGCCATCGACGAGAAGGCATCAAGATATGTCGCCATCAAAGTCGGCACCGCGGACGCGAAGCATGCCGAATTTGATATTCTATCCCAGCTCACACAGAGCGTCACAAGCTGTAGCGACACGGAAGACGAGCTGTCGCAGATTCCCATCGTTCTTGATCGCTTCGATCTCAGCGGGCCCAATGGTACCCATTCGTGCCTCGTAGCCCTTCCGGCACGGTGTAGCTTGCGGGACGCAAGGGAGGCATCAGGCAGTTCCTTATTTCAGCTTGATGTTGCCAGATCTCTTGCTGCACAACTGGTCCTGGCCGTATCACTCGTCCACTCGCAGGGCTATGCCCATGAATGGATCAAAGTAGCGTAGACGCCAGCAATGCAGATGCGACTCGAAAGAGAAGAGTCCATCTTTTGAGTGACGGTGACAGAAATGCCATGAGGACATGACATCGGCTAGTTGAGTATCTGCCTGGCCTGCGCCTCCAGTGATTCATCCCCTGAGGCTGTGATAGACCATTGCTGCAATTCAGTTTAGCGTGAGTCTTTCTTCGACCGTCTTCTAGACCTTCTATCACGACTCAGGGTCTTGTCGAACTTTCATCCCTACCTTCGGTGTGATCAGCTGAAATGGAGAGCATGATCCCCTATCAGGAGACCCTGCGGAGCCACGGCGTTGGGGGCTAGTCAGGGGCTAGGGGTTCCGAGAGCGTATGTATGAGGACTGCGGAGGGCCCTCCAAGCTACGAATGGCTAAGATTCAGATGTTTTACACCGCTATACCTATTATCTATTGCCTGCGGACCACATATAGAAGCCTTCATCACTCTACTTAAAACCAAGCACTGACAACGAACGAAACTTTCCGCTGTAAAGTTAATTTGGGATTTTAATTTACTATGCACAGCCTTGCTCTGATAGCCACGCTCAGCTTCAGTACATGAGCTGTAGCAACTTTGGAATCCAGCATCCCGTCAGTTACCTGTGACAACGGCCCACATAGTCCCCAGGTCCGGGACTAATATAGCTATAATATGTCCACTCTCTCATAAACCCCTTGTCCCAGTCAAACACCAGAGTGCCCAGAAAAATAGAGGTAACCAAGGCAAGAGCCAGCATCACATTCGGGAGCAAAATCAGTGACAGCTTCACCCACCAACTGCCAATCAACTGTCCGCGCGTCAATCCCTCCTCAAACATGGCCTTGCGCCTGTTGAGCATGTCGACCTCCTCCAAGTAGCTAATAAAACGCATGACATGAACGAGAACGAAAGATCCACTCATCCCAATCACATCAGCTAGTCGCATGAGAACGGTGCGTTGCAGACCGCACGAGTATTTGGCTTTGAGGACCATGATCAACCCAACAAGGACTGTCAAGTTTGTTGAACCAAACTTCAGTTGGCGCATGATTGGTCGCTTTTCTGGGTACCTGGAAATGTTGACGTCTTTGCCACCATTCGTGCAAGCCTTTAGAACCCTTTCATCAAGGGCTTATGAAACATGTCAAAAAACGAACATCTGTGGTGCAAGAGGAGTACTGACTCACATTGCTCTATGAAGGTGTCGCAAACGGGTGGCAATTCCCGTAAAGCGATCAAGGGGGGTTGGACGACCATCGTAGGGGCAGTCTGTTCTTCTTTGCAGACTCGAGCAACCCCTCGAAGAGGACAATCGAACCTTGCTCGAACAGTGCCATGCTTCTTACCCAATTCGCTTGACGAGAGAAGCAATAACCTGGCTCCGCGAACCAGCGCCTCATCAGTGATCTGACCGAGTTTGCCTTGGACTTTTGGAACGTGTATGTCGAGCATCAAACAGGCTTGCTGGCCTTCATTCCTCAAGAACTCATCCTGTTTCGGCAGTAGGCAGTTCAGAGTGACTTCAAATTTGATTTCTTCCCGGGTCATACGAATGCGAAAGGTTGATAGAAGCATAGCACCTGGCTCTGTCAACAAGATTCCAGACTTCAAGACCCTCGACGTGGGCCAAGCCCCCGAATGCACAAGAAGGCCATCGGGCTTGGGCGACACTCGCGCGTCTCCGAATGCCTGTTCTGGTCCAGGACTCGAGGGAATCCATCGATCGGCGGAGTTTTGGCCCGCGCGAGGTCTGGGATAGTCGTTGTACATGATTTCAGCGGGAAATGTATCCATGCAGTTAAGAATGACCTTGATTCTGTCAACCGACTCAGCAAAGTCTCTCAGTCGGGAAGCCCTGACATCCGTCAGATTGGCAATGATGTCTGGAAGATCCTCTGCTTTGGTGGTATGCCGTCGACCGAGGAGGTTCCATATATCTAGAAGGCGTAGGTACTTGACCTCAGGGCTCGGTGGAGCGGCATTGTGCCGGAACCGTTCTAAGGGTCGCCTCTGAGCCGAGATTGAGCCTGTGGCCAGCCTTAAGGCACGATAGATCAGGTCTTTTGTAATATTTTCTGCTGGCTCGGTGCCGTAGAACAGCCCACCATTTGCAACAGTGGCGTGGTTGATTGGCGGTCCGTCAATCCACCGATTGCCGGCAGCAATGGTGGTCCACCCGAGACGCTCACCGAACCAGTAGACCCCTATCACAGGGCCATACCAGAACGGTTTGTCATGGGCGAACATCTTCATGTCTTGCTCGAACCGATCCTCAACAGTAATCGGAACAACCGTGTCTTTGAATTGAAAAAGGCAGTTCCGTGCAAGAACCCCTTCTTGCAGGGTCCAGCAACGCGTGTTCCATTTTGAAGTTGCCGTCCACGCCGTCAACTCCGCAGTAGAGCGCTCCGAGATGCTCATATTTTCCAAATCACGATCCACAACGAGGACCTGAGCGGCTGCAGTATAGATAAGTGCCATTTTGCTGATGGCCTTCTGTCTTATGTTGGCATATTGTGGAGACACAGGAATGCATAGAGTATCCATCCAGAAGAGTGGGCTCCGTTTGAGCGTTTGAATGGACTTCTCGCCAGGTTGGTCATGCGACGATAGGGATTTGGCAATCCTGGTGAGCCGGCATGTTGGCAGTGCGTTTTTTTCGGGGTTGCCCATCCCGTCAATCCACACATGTGACATGGCTGTGTATTGCGCATCCGAAAACGTTGAGCAAGCCTCGAGTTCCAAGAAAGCTTCTTCATCCGCCGCCATCTTGATTCTCACCAGCGGAATCTTATCACTCTCGATAATGCGCACGAGTTCCTTCTCAGGCAGGCTGATCAAAGCGCACTGACAACCGTCAACAACGTGACGCGCGCTCTTGGTGGACGCGCTGGTGTTGTATGCTTTGCAGAGGAGATAGGTACAGGACCCATGGTTTATATCAGGGCTCCCATCACGGTCCAGAAAGCTGAGATAGTAGACCATGAGATGCTCGGTGCGGCAAAAGACGGTGATGATCTGTGAGTGACACCAGCCGTTGCCTTTGAGTCGGTTAAATAGCAGTCGTTGCACAGGTGTCAGTTCATCAAGCTTGACAGACGCGTCCTCAAGCACTGTGACATGAGGCGCTCGAGTCGATGCCAGTGTAGTTGTTGTCAAGCTATAAAAATCTCCGGCCAACAAGCCAGTGTCGATGAAGCCGCTGAGGAAGTCCGTCAGGATTCTGATTGACAGAAAGACGGCAATGCTCGGCTCATCGTCCGTGACCACCCGTTCCAGCCTCTTGCTGGCGGCGACAGCCGTGTGAAGTCTGTGCTGGATTGTCTTGATACGCCCTTGGCTGTCTGCTGATCGGAGTTCAAGAGTGACCTGGGTCATGATCGCCTGCAAGGCTGTGGCATCGATCGATTGCCCGTCGCTGCTGATAAATCGAGATCTTTCCACAGAACAGCCGAGTAGACCGTCAATAAGCCCGAAGAACAGCCATTCTTGAGCGAGGCTGGCAAGCTTTCGGGCGGGGAGTGTGATGTCTAGAGTCTGCTTGTGTCCGCAGCCGGCGCGGCATGGGTACGAGCTGAACTCGTCGTCATCGAGACTAAACCCAGGCAAATAAGGTACAATGACACGCGAGAGTCTCGAGCTTTTCGGTGTCGCAAGGTAGTCCATCCTGTCTGTGGAGCTCGATGCCGATAGATGAATGCTGGTTCACGATGAACTTCGGCGGGGTTGTTGCTTTGCCGCAGGAAGTTCCCTGTCAGCCGCATACTGCCTTGACTGCCCAGTTTTGAGCCCTTGCACCAACTTTCGGAAGCATGCGTAACGTAAGCGCAGGCGCCTTTACTCTCGACACTTGGGAACATGACATTTGAACTTGATTCCGACCTCAAGCGAAGCATTTACGACCCATCAATCAAACTCAAGTAATTCCGAGAGGACGTATGTCATAAAATGCAGAGTGTCACAAGAATGATAAATACCTAGATCGGCCTTATGATGCACCATTTGGTTCTAGGTTCAAACGGTTTTCCATGAGCATGCCATTAGTGGGACTTCAGCCCCTTCCTATCCTGAGAGCGTGTCGGATGCCCACCAGGATACTTTTACCCCATCTGCTGGTGTTCAATCCATATTTTACCCGTGATGGAAGCCGAGTCTCGAAATAATGCACAAGCACCGACACCTGTTGAACATTTGTTTGTTATCTGCCCACGAGTGTCTTCGCACTGTTCATCATCGCGTCAACTCCTTTAAGGAACGAACATGAACCGTCCCTTTGCCGCCATTTCTAGACGTGCTCGCAGCACTGTCCTCCAAACCTGACCGCAAGTAGTGATCCGACGACAGTTTTCAGCCAAGGCGATATACTCGTCGTTCCCTGCCACTCTTCACTACTACGCCCCTAAGCCCGTCTCGTCCCTGTTCGATTCCAAGGAGAAAGATAAGAGGCCCCATGATGTCTCTGCAGAGGGGGTGACTGTGGAGCCCAGAGGTCTTATATATCCGGCCTTCAACAGATCTGGTGGGTAGTCTGGCCGGCGTCCATGGAACACAGGGCTGAACCCTTGACAGTTTCGAATGGCGCCGTCATGTTCCCCAACACGTTTATGATGCAAGAGCTTATTCGCATGCACTTTGACTACATGCTTGACCGAGAAGATGAAGGCCACGAGGTTGACACGCCATTTGTGTACACCATTGCTCGAGGTAGGAGCGGATTCCATGAATGCAATAGCCGTATAACCTAGCGCAAACGAAATAGGAACCCCAATCCCTAGCCATCTCATCCTCATGAACGAGTACATGTCCAGATTCACACTTCAGCCATCGCGTGGCATGCCGCTACAAGGTCTGAGCACCTCTATCCACCTTGCCAAGTTACGGCGCTAACACTGGATAGAATTGAACCAGTCACTGGATAAGTTCTATGCCCAGTACGCCCAGAAGGAAACGGCAGATAGCTGGCTGGATGCACACGATTTCAAAGACGCTGTGGCAGATGACGCTGATCCCGTATGGATGGCTAAATAGATGACCCAAGGGTGCGCAGCTATTGCATCGCGTTGGCGACATTGGATTCGGACGCACTCCGCCGCTGCGCTGCACCGTCTTAGCTTGGCGTGACCGGAGAAGGCGTCTGCTTTGTAACAGTACTGTACTAATACTAAAGGCGAATAACCGTTTGATGGATATCAGCTGAGTGAGGGCAAATTATATCTGGATTCAGTCTTGCGGTCCTAGGGGTAAAGATTTATTTCGTTGACCATACCTAGCTGTGGTGAAACTGTGTCTCAGAGCAAGTTATAAATATAAGTAAGTGGCATCTATCTGACGTTCGGCGCCCGGGATCATGCTATCGGAACTGGCGTTCCTCCTCATGCTTCACGCGTCGGCGCCTTTTTGACATGCAACTCGTTTGGGCAGAGTGCCGATCGGACGTCAAAGACAACATGTCTGGCATATCTTGATTCAGGCATGGAAATGGCATCGCCATGCATCAGCTTGAACTCAACGACGAGTTGACTAAGTTCCGTCGAACCCCGCATCGCACCAGCATGCGACAATGGTAACGAGCTGTTCTTCAGTTCGTCGTCGACTTTTACTCTTGTGCTCGGAAGATCGGTCAAGTCATCTCGTCGAGAGGATTAACGTTCAATGCATGACACCATCGCAGCGGGGCCTCACCTCATCTCATGCTCCATCACGTCCCAACGCCTTATAAAGTGATTTCTCTTCGCGAGAGATCCATCTACCTGTTGCTGCATTGAAACACCATCCCTCCCAGAGAGCCAGCCCACCATGTCCGCTCCGTTCCTCGACCACCTCGTCATCCTCCTCCCCCACGCCGCCCTCATCTCCCCGCCCGAATGGCTCCGCTCCGCCTTCCACCTCTATCCCGGCGGCCAGCACGCGGACAACCGCACCGCCAACACCCTCGTCCTCCTCCCGGACGGGACCTACCTCGAGCTCATCGCCTTCCTGCCCCACGTCCCCCCCGACGACCGCGCCAGCCACCCCTGGGGCCGCGAGCCCGACGGCCACCTCGTCGACTACGCCCTCAGCCTAGCCGCGGGCCCCGCCAGCAGCGCCACGCCCGAGGCGCTCTTCGCGCCGATCCGCCAACGCATCGCGGCCGACGCGTCCGCGCCGCTGCGCTACCCCGCGCCCAAGACGGGCGGCCGCACGCAGAAGGACGGCACGGAGATCAGGTGGGCGACCTCGTTCCCTGAGGCGGCGGCGCCGTCGGTGCCCTTTACGCGCGGCGAGCTGCCGTTCTGGTGCCTGGATCGCACGGACCGGCGGCTGCGTGTGCCGTATCACGAGCCCGGGAACGTGCGGCACCCGTCCGGCGCCAAGGGCGTCAGGGCCTTGGACGTGAGCGTTTCGTCGCGGGAGGCGCTGGAGGTCTACGCTCTTATTCAGGGGGTGGAGGGGCGCCCGGACGAGGATGGATGGACGGTCTGGGACCTGGCGGCGCCGGAAGGTCCTCCGAGTGCGCTTCGCGTCAGGGTTCGGGATGGGACAGCGGCCGGTGGGAAGGAGAAAATCAAGTTGACGATTTTGACCGAGCGGGGGACCGAGGCGAAGAGGATTGGAGGCGAGATTGCCGAAGGCGTCGAGCTCTGGATTGACCTGGAGCCGGAGACGTAGACCGAACTTCAATAGGAAAAGGGGTATCATTAACTATGGGACAAACTCCTGACCAGCCGCGTCATGCCATCTACCATGCCCACGTCCTACTCGATGCGGAGAAGACGGGAGGCTTCCACTGTATCCGCGCTGGATCGATGAGGCGCCTCTTCTTCAGTTTCTGCTTCTCCCTCTGCTGCACCAGCTTTTCCGGAATCACAATCTTGTGTTCGCCGCGGTGGTAAATCTGCATCCTCAGTGCGCCGAGTGTGTGCTCGACATCTTGCGTCGTCATTGACAGTTGCGTAGAGATGGTCTCGATGGTCGCCTTGTCTTCGCGCTCATTGAGTCCGAGCAGCAGATCAATGATGTTCTCACCCCAGTACTGTCTGTAACTGAGAAGACCCAAATCGGACAGGGGCTTCTCGGGAGAACCGAGGCGGCCTTCAATCTTGGAGAGCTCATACGAGAACTGAATGAGAAGACGGCCGTAGCCTCTTCGCTGGTATTGCGGTAGTGTGAGAATACAAGCCACGTTGTAACCGTCTGCACTTTCCTTTTCTTTGGAGAAGTAACCAACAAAGTGGAAGCCCTTGTCGTCTCTGATCGTCATGACGTAGAAGAGGAATGGGTCGACGTCGTAGTAGAGCGTTTTGTGGTCAAGGAACATTTTCGACAGCAAACAGAGGTTGCGACACCATGTCCTTTGCCTTCGCCCGTCAATCTCGAAGAAGGAAATCGTATCGTCACGGTAAATCTCATTGCCGGGCGGGTGCTGCAGGGTGCACTTGATGCGGTGCCGCGTGAACGACTTGAGGTCCCCGTAGTATCCCAGACAGAACTCGCAGATGTACATGACATCCTCTGCGCCAAAGATTTCGGGGTACGGCGAAAAGTACCAAGGAAACAGATCGTGTTTGCCGAACTGCACTTTGGAGATGTTTCGGATTCGAGAAATCTCGGCCGGGTTCTGCGTCATGCTGCCGTGTGTCCTGAGCTTCTCAATCTCGGCGTCGCGGCTGAAGCCGTTGGCCTCGCCGTTGGCCTCGCCGTTGGCCTCGCCGTTGGCCTCGCCGTTCTTCTGGTCCGCCGCGGCAGCACCGTCCTCGCCGTCCACCTCCATCTCGTCACCACCTGCAGCGGGTGTCGAGGTGGTATCCGCAGCAGCGGGCGTCGGCGCCTGACTCTCCTCGGCCGGCGTGGCCTTGCGGCCCTGCTGCGAATCAACGAAATCGGTCCATGGATGCTGCGGCGTATTGACCTCGGACGCCGACGCCACAGACTGCTCCCTCTTGCCGGGCCTCTTCTGCGCCTTCTTGTTGCCCTGGGTCTTCTTCGACGTCGCGACGGCGCCCTTCTTCTTCGTGTCCTTGGCCGGCTTCTCCTTCTCGACGCCGGGCCACTCGACGTCCTGGTCGAAATCAATACGCGCTAGCGGCACCCACTCGTCGAGACGCTTGTTGAAGTTGTCAAAGTTGCAGTAGAACTGCCGCCCGCTCTTGGTCTGTTTGATGCTGAGAATCTCGGCGCGGCGGGGCACGCCGTTCTTCTCGACCCAAGCGATGCAGCCGACCTTGATGGTCTCGGGCGTCGCGCGGCCCTTTTGGCGAGGGCCATCGTTGCCGACAGTCGGCTCGGGCTGCGTCATGATGGAACCGGTCGTGGTTGCGGTTCCCTTGATGGATTCGAAGTCGTGCGGTATGTGTCTTGTTTGGTGGTCATGATGGGGGAAAGATGGAGTTGCGCCGCATCTTCTCGAAGTTTAGATGGGGCGGTCGCGGCAGAAAATGGCCGCCCGCCACTACAAGGGCGAGGGCGAGGGCGGTCAGGCTAGCGGCGAGAATCCCTGCACGGAGACCCCGGTACATGCATTCCCGCTTTTCAAGACGCTCTGGCAAGAACTTCCATCTTCATTTTCATCATCTTCATTTTCATCATCCAACACAGATCGTTTCTCCTGGGCTCTCATGCAAAATTTACTGCTTCCACTGGGAAATAAAACAAACAAAAGTCCCTAGCAAGAACTCAAACAGCATGCCCGTCTGAGTTCTCATCCACCAGCAAAGAAACGCCTTCCCCAAGACCATGGCACGCGAGCTCTCCTCAAATTGGAAGCAGCTGCAGGCTCACATCCAGGCCGAGTCGTCCTCCCAAGCAGACGGCAAAACGCCAAGCACGCTCAAGCGGAAAGCCTCGGGCAAAGGCCTCGCCTCGGCGGCCAAGAAGCAGAAGAAGCCCGTCGTCTCCAGGACGGCAGCCGCCAGCGCCAGCACCACCGTCACACCGCGCCCGCCGCCCTCGGCCGCGGCCCGGGCCCGCCGCGTGCCCGCCGACCTCGCCCGCGCGCATGGGCGCCGCGCAGGCCGACCAA